TGCCTGAACGCCCTGAGGAATCCCAGGAGCGCGCACAGCAATATGGTTATTACCGGATGATATTTGGGAAGAAAGTGCTAATGGGCAATCTGGTGTTTATTTTGAAACTGCTAACAATGATTTTTCTCTGGTAAAAAGGCAGTGTCTGGGCGCACGGCTGAGTGGGCTTTGAGCATGGGCTCTAACAGATGGTGCGGAGCTCGAGGTGCGGGATCGGCCCTCCGCTCCCGGCGCCCGCCGGGCTGGGGGAACGCCGGGCTCCGAGCAGCCTCCCTGCTTGTTCTCCTGCTTCCCTGCCTTCCTCCCTGCCTGTTCTCCTGCTTCCCTGCCTGTTCGCATCCCTGCCTGCCTCTCTCCCCGCGACCCTGCCTGCGCTCAGCGCCCCGGGGCCGGGGGTGCAGAGTCAGCCCCCCGCAACCCTCAGCGGTGTTAACGAGGGCCGGGGGTGATGCCGAGCCGAGCCCCCCGCACGGCTCCCCCGGGGCTCCGCTCCGCCAGCCCCGCGGAGGGGCCGGGGGGGTCCCCACCTCCAGGTATTGTTTTGCAAACAAGAGGGGGTCATAGATGACAGCGCAGACATAACAAGGCGACTGTGGCCGCGAGTGTTTGTTGTCGCAGCGTGCCATATAACTTCTGGTGATTGTTACTTTTCCTCTGATGAAACCACGTATTTATAAGTGATTTATTTTTTATTTTGTAGCACAAACAGAAATCCATAAACTGTCGGTTCAGCGCCATTGACTCTTTGATCAGTTACTGGGCTATTTTTTTTTCTCTCCCGTCAGTGAGGAGAGATTAAAAGCCTTTATTTTCAGCCCTTTTTCTGCTGCAAAGGTACGAGCCGAAATGGACAATAAAAGTGCACTTCAAATGTATCCTCTTTGCTCCTTTATTCGGCGCTAACGAAACTTATAGCCGCCTATGTCAGCCTCTTAATTACACTACTACAGCGATTTCCGAAAACATTTAGCTGCTGTATACAAAGGAAATAAACCCACATTGTCAACTCGAGAGCGCTCCGGAGTTTAAAAGCCTCCTCTGTAACCCAGCGAAATAATTATTGAAGGGTACGACGCCTCTGTCTTTGTCAGAGTAATTGTACTTGGCCTGTCAGCTCTGCTTTTCTCCGAGTGGAAATCCCACTATTTTACTCCTGGAGACATTTAGATCCAACCCAGATTTAGTCAGGAGAAGTAGAAAGTTTCTGCGGGGTGGCAGCGCGGCCGTGCGCGCAGCTTGCGCGGGGCCCACCCCGACCCGGGAGACTCTCCTGCCCCTGCCTCGGGGGCTGCAAAGTTCCCAAAAATAATGGATGTGGGCAGGCCGGCCTCGGCCGGGAGTGCAGAGCACGCAGGGGTGTTACAACCCGGCAGATTGGGGGAATGGTTTTAATTTCCATCGCTGGGATCAGATTTCCAGAACACTGTAAATTATTCCCCATTCTCACCTTTCTCCTCACCCCCCCCCCAAAAAAAATTTTTGAATTAATAATAATTTTAAAAAATCATGAAATGTCACTGAGGAAAAAAATATTAAAATAAAGAAAAAAGAAATAAAGTTTATTAAATCCCAAGCTCTGTCTGTAATTGCTGCGGTGCAATGCTGATAACACGTAGTTATCATCGGAAAAGTTGACCAAGACAGGTTAAATAATTTAATAAGGAACTGCTTGTAATTATGTTATTTACAAGGTATGACAGAGGTTTGAGGAAGAAACAGAAGCTGATCTCAGGGAAATGGACGGGTTTGGGTGACCCCTGGAGCATGGAGTTTGAATTATGGAGATGGGGGGCTGAGAGGTGAATATGGACTAGAGGAGAACAAGATGACTTTTCACCTCAGCACATTTAACTTTTAAATCCAAATAAACGTCTCGCGTTACTGGATCGTCGCATTATAAAAGAAAAAGGACTAATCCCGGCCAGTTTCGGAGTGTTGGCAAGAGGGCTGCCCTCTCCTCACCGAGGAAAAATATCGCCAGAAAAAAAAGTTAGAAATGGGAAAAAGTGCATTGAAAAATAAATCTGGGCAACTCGATGGGATTTTTTCCCCTTTCCTTTCTCCCTCGCTAAATTAATTATATCAAACATCTGTTCCCGTGACGTTGTACTCAATGCCACACACACTACTGAATGATTCCAACGCTGCCTCGAAGAGCAACAACACACCTTTTTCTCTTTCCCAAATATCCTCCGGTAATAGGGATCTCAATTAGCAGGTAGCTGATTTACTCGCTCAGGTAAATTAGAAGTAGGTGCGCTCTACTGGTTTACTCCCCCCCAGCCCCCCCCCCCCCCGCAAGGGCAAAATACAAACTTCGTAACTCGCGTGGTAAGAAAAGCGTAAACTTTCTCACCTGTTTGGTCATTGAGTCTATTAGACGAACATACAGGTCCTGCTCTGTCCTAACTCCTGGGGAGGGAAAGCAGAGACAAATTCCGGTCAGGATTTAGGTAGCGAACCACCCCAATTCCACAAGGAAAGGATGAGGTCAGGCAATTAACCGCGGCGGGCAGGGATCGGCCCCGCGCCAGCTCAAAAAGAAAATTCAAAATTAAAAAATAATAATAATTTTAAAAATCCAGATATCAGCTGGTGGCGGAGTTATGCTCCCCTTCTGTTCCCGGTGCTTGGGGGGCCGTGCCCGGGCCAGCCCCCCCCCCCCGGCCGGGTTGTGCCGGCCCCACGGCCCCGGGGAACACGCGGGACCCCCGCGCTGGGGCTCCCCGGCCCCCCGCGAGTTTCCCGCGCCCGAGGAACCGGCTTCGTCGGGCCGGGGCTCCGCTCTGCCCACTCACCCCATCCCAATGATTACCATTAATTCCCAAAACTGGAGGGGGAAAAAAAAAAAAAAAGAAGTCCCTTAAAAGTACCGCTGTGCCCGAGCAGCCATCGATCCCCTTTTTTACTTTCCACTTCAAGCCCAACCGGTTAATCATGTGAAGTACCATTGACTTATCGATCCTTTACGTTTTGTTTTCCTTATATGCCAAGGAAAGAGCCGTGTTTACACGCGTGTAATTTTAATCTCGAAATCTTTATATCCTTTATCCTCCTCCCTCCCCCCCAAAAAAAAGGCCTCGAAAAGGAACATCAGACTTTTCTGCGGCACACGGACGCTCAAAAATGAGAGAACGACAACTTACCATTGCTATACAATAACTGAAGTTTATAATGAATCCCATTGTTAGTTTTTTCATTGTTTGGCTCCTGCAAGTAACGATAAATAATTACATTTAGCATGAAAAATATCGCCCTCCTCCTGACGCACATTTTTCTCGTCCCTGAAGCGGCTCGGAATTAACAGTTTGCAGAAATTCAGCCCACGGTCACTTTTTTTTTTGGTGGAGCGCTGATGATGTCATTAGCTCGGTGCAAATATGTCATGTTTTGCCGTTTTCCCGGTGTTTAATATAAGTCGGGGACGCGGCGATAAGTTTCTAACCCCGGGGTCTATTCGGAGCGGCCGTGAGACCGGGGGGACCCGCACGTGGCGTGGGCGCCGCTGGAGTGCCGGGGAGGGCTTCGAAGCTGGGAATGAGCTTGGGTCAATGAAATCACGCTTAAAAAATTTTTAAAAAAAATTAAGATAACAGGCAGACTTACTTTCTCTTTCTCCACAAAGTCCACAAAAGCTGTTCTCTCAATCTCCACCGGCTGTCCCTGCCTGTCGTACAGAGCTAAGACGAAGTGGAAAAAATTGGATTTTCTGAGATTGGAAGGCGGCTGTTTCTCGAAATGTGCCCGAGCCAGCCCCACGCCGCTGCGGGAGAAAACAAGACAAGGCGTGGGTGAGAGCGGCGGGAAGGGGCGCGCAGGCTCCGCGGCCGCGGGGAGATGCGGGGGGATGCGGGGAGCGCGGAGCGGCGCGGAGCGGGGAGGCTGTAACTGATACGGGGCGGGCGGGGGGGGGGGGGTGGGGGGGGGGATTTACGGCCGGGATGAGAAATACAGGAGGAGAAAACCGCCGGGAGAAGATTTGGCAGACGTACCTTTGGGCGGCCGTGTTAGCATCCACTACCCCAGCAGTATGCATCCATGAGCGGACCGGGTTCATCCCACTGCCCAGCGGTTCTTCTTTCATGGTCGTCCCACCTCTTGGTATATTTTCCTGAATCCCAAACATTAAAACAAATTTGGGCAAAACCAGCTCCTAACCAAAAGGGGTTAAAATTGAGGGAAATGTCAGATACGGGGTGGGTTGGTTGTTGCTTGATTTTCGCTCGCTCTCTCTCTCTCTCTCCTTGGCGACTGGAATATAAGAGATGACTTTACTCCCTGTGATCAGTAGGAGAAAAGCCCAGTTCAAGTCTTGCTTCCTTCTTCAATCTGTCCTGTATTGGCACGACATAAACAATTTACTGAGTACTTCTGTGCGGCGAGTTGGATGGCGTTCCAGTTTGGTGGTTTAAAAAAAAAAAAAAAAAAAGAAAAAAAAAAAAAAGAAGGAAAAAGTATAACTGTAGCCGGCGACACTGCGAGGTGGCTTTTTTTTTGGGCGGGGGAGGGGGGAAAAAAGAATAAATATTTTTGTTGTTGTTGTTTGCAGACGCGCTCAACGTGGTGTCATCCTAGTAAAAACCGGCTCGGAAAAAAAAAAAAAGCTTCAGGACACTGCTGAATCGACCACTTTCTGGCAAGGCTCTCCTGCTCCAAAAGACAAATAAACGGGGAAAAAAAAAAAAAAATCCTGATTACCGCGGAGGTGTTCCCGGGCACACGGGAGAACGGGGCGCGGGCCCGTGGCGTCTCGCGGAATGGACGGAGGCGCGCAGAGCCCGGCCCTCCCTCCCCGAGGAGCGCGCCCCTTCCCCGGGAGTCGGGCCCCCGCCACCGCGGGAGAGGTGGCGTCACTGATGACGTCGTTAAGGGGCGGGCACACCGCCTTATATGGAGCGTGGGGTTCGGTCGCTCGCTGTCGCGATCCTGCCTTGCCCCGACCCCCCCTCCCCGACGGGGGGGGGCAGGACCGCGGCGCAGAGAGGTCCCGAGATCTTCTTGCAAGTGGCTTCGAGGAAGCGGGAAGGGGGTAAAACCCTCCTGGCGGGGATGTGACCCGCGTGGAGGGTCGTGGGGAGGTTTGGGGATGGACAAAGGGTGGGATGCTGGATGCGCCCCTCCACGATCGCCTCTCTATAAATGCACGGGCGGACATGCCCAGAAATACCTATATTTGAAGACTTCATGTGCACACACAAATATATCCACAGCTATAGGTCCGCCTTGTCCATCTATATATATATATATATACATCTCCATATAAATATATACTTATATATTTTTTTATACACTTATATTTTTATATATATATCTCCTCCTCAAGTGATGAGCTTTTTCCGCCCAGTAAGGGCTACGACTTCCTTTTCTTTTTTTTTTTTAAATTTAATTTTTTTTATTTATTTTTGTGAATTTCCAACGTCCCTGTGTTAATATTTCACCGACTCGTGAAAATCGGCATTAATATCTGAATGAATCGGTGAAAATCGAAAGTCCGATTTGTGTTATCAGGATCCCCTTTCTCCAAGGGGTGAGGGAAAAGGGAAAGAAAAAAAAAAAAGATGTGTTAGAAAGCAATCTATTTTGCTGGTGTTGGGGGTTAATGACTATTGCCAAAGATAAGTGAATTATCAAAGCTGTTGCTCTACCCGATCTCAAAATCCATTACATTGCTGGCCGTCTAATTAAATACGTAAGTATAATAAAATCATATTTTATGACTATTTGAGGGTAATGAGATTAGTCTTTAGAAGCGATCGCCACATATTAAAGATGCCACTGTCTATAGAATGTTAATAACCTTAAATCAAAGTGTATGGAAACTATTCACGAGAAATTAAAAGAAAATTCCTGTATTCATAATCAGTCCGGAGCTTTTGAGGTACAGTAGAGCAGATTACAAACCCAAACACTTTTATCGCGCAGCGATACCAAAGTTCTCAAACAATGCGATGCTCGCGGTGGCATTTTGTGGCACGGACACATTTGGGGACCTAGAGCTGGCACCGGGGGCCGCCGATCCCCCCAGACCGCAAAATTATGCCTCCTAAAAATAAGGTAAAAAATGCCCAACACCGCTATAATTGTAAGATATTTCCTCAAATGAACAACGCCGAAGTTGGTGCTTACCCTCCGCTAACGAAAGCTTAAAATCATTTACAGTATCTTTAATTCAGATTACACGCGCCAAGGCGATTTAAATCTGATTACCAAATTAGAAGGTTTTAAAACAAATCCTTTTAAATCTGATACTGTTGACTAAGGAGGAGAGAAAAAAAAAAGTTCCATAAGCCCATCACATAAGGTAACGATCCTGCCCCAGAAAGAAAGGGAGTTTTAAACCTTTTTGACAACAAATGCAGCTGCCCCACTATTTTGGACGATATTAAGCGAAAATGAATGCAAATCTGTGTTCAGAAGCCATCTGGCCAGGAATGGGGGAATCAGCTGCTCCTCACAACAGGCTCTGAGCCTGAATCTATTTCAGCTCATTTTCTAGATCATCTGGTCCTGCACCCAAAGCGTGGAAAATACGGTCTTTATCATTCACCAACTTTATCTTTTTGTGTGTGTGTGTGTGTGTCACTGTGGCTGGAGCTGCCGCCGGCCGGGAGCCCGCCCGGGATGCTGCTGCCCGCACCGCCCCGCGCCGCCCTGTACCGCTGCCAGGCCGGCATCCCGCCCCCGACAGGTCCTCCCGTTCTCCCGGCCGAGGAGGGAGGGGAGCAGAGCCTGGGCATCTCCCCCAGCCCCAGGCCCGCTCCCGGGGTGCGGGATCGCGGCCCCGCCGCCGCCGCACCTTGCGCGGGGCAGGCGCGGGGAGCGGGGCCGCGGCCGGCGCCGGGCGGGCAGGGGGTGTGCGCGGCTGCGGGGGGCGGCCCGAGCCCTCCCGGCTCCGCGGCCCTCCTCCTCCTCCTCCTTTTCCACCTCCTCCTCCTCCTCCTCCGGCGCCAAGTCTCCCTTTTGTGTGAATTTACGGGGTGAGGCTTCAGTGATCCCCCCGCAAATTTGCATTTAAATAGCGACATCAAGCGATGCGCGTGCCACACACCAGCGGGCTCCCAGATGTCACGGCGGAGCCGCTCAGATGGCCGCAGCCCAGCTGTCCCCCGGCCCGGCCCCGCTCCGCGCCCCCCGCGCCCCGCACCGCCCGTGCGGGCAGACCCCCGCCGCCGCCTCTGAGCGCGTCCTCCTGCCCCGCACCGCGGCCGGACACCGCATCCCGCGCTGCGCGTGGATTAGAATTGATACCCTTATCCCACCGCCCTTGTAGTATTGCCTTAAACTTTATTATTTTATTCCCCCACCCCCCTCCCCGGGACAATCCCCTCGGGACTATTATCTTAATCATTTCACTTTTTTTTCTTTCCTTTTTGTTGTTATTATTTTTTACTTGTTTCTCATTTCACGGTTAAGATCACAGAAGTTTGAGCGCGTGAGGTAGTTTTCGCTGTTTCCTCGGCCGTGGGCCGACCCCGAGCTGCCCAGCTCCGCGCTTCCCACCGCACAAACTTTCCCAGCGGGAAGTTGCGGTGGGAGCTGGGAGCGGCGGCTCCGGCCCTACCCTCGGGGGGCTCGGCCGGGCCCCCGCAGCTCGCCAAGGTCCATATTTCAATTTTATTGTTGGAAGGCGCCTTCATTACTACCGCGCCGGGTTACATCGGGCGTAATTTATGCCCGGTGTAACCAAAACAAATCTCTGCCAACCCCCGCGCTGCAGGAGGGAGAAATGGCTATTTTCGGGTAAATCTGTGGTTTCGGGTGTTTTCAGGCACGACGGCCCCGCGGCCGGTGCTCCAGGGCGCTAATTCCCAGGGAGGTGGTGATGGGCGCGGGGGCGCAGCGCCGCGGGGCCCGGCCCGGCCCTTCCGTGGGGTGTCGCGCATCCTGCGCCCAGGACAGAGGCCGAGCCGGGCCCAGGAGCGGAGCGGAGCCCAGGACCGAGCGCTGCCGCCGGTGCTCTGGGGCACACCGACCCCCGTCGCCTCCAGCCGAGGCCCCCAGCGTCCCGCAAAGGGCACAGGTTGCGGGAAGGCCGCCCGCGCAGAGGTGCGGGACCCCCGCTCTGCCCGGCCCCGCTCGCCGCCCGCCTTTCGGGATGGATTCGCCCGCTTTGGGCCGGTTTCAGTGCTTGGATTCACATTCCTGAGCATCCCGGGCCCGCTGGAGAGCGGACGTGGCCAGCGGTGCAGTACCACCGCCCGCATCTGCCGCCCGCCCCGCCGGGATGGGGAGGGAGCTGCCTCGCTCCGCGTCCCGCGCAGGCACTGCAGGGCGGGCACCGGCTGCGCGGAGACGCTGCGGGGCTCAGAGGGGCTCAGAGGGTCTGTCCTTCCTCCTGCCCGGGCTGGGTCGCCCTGGGCCTCCTCGGCCGCCCGCGCACCTCCCGCGGCCCTGCGCGGCCCGCGGCCAGGCTGCGCGGCGGGGCGGTGGGTCCGGCTCGGGGTCACGGAACTCCCCGTGGGTGCAGGGCTGTTTTACCCAAACTGGCGCTCGGCCCCGCGCTACCCCCGGCGCGCTCCCGCGGCCCCGCGCCCCGATATTGTTACACCAAAATTAGTTCTTAAACAAGGGAAAAAAAAAAAAAAGGAAAGAATTAGAAGAAAAAAAAGGCTTAAACTTCCGCCGTGCTTGGATGGGAAAACTCCCCGTGGGCGCTGCCCGGCTCCCGAAGGCGCGGCCGCTGCGCGGGCGCTGCCCTCCCGGTCCCCGCGGGATGCGGGGCCGCGGCCCGGGGGTGCTGTGGGGCCGCCGCGTCTCTGCCCCCATGGGACAGCGGGGAGGGGGTTTGAGGGGGCTCGGAGCCGCTTGGGCGGAGGGGCGGCCGCCCCTGCGGAGCAGCGCGGGTGCGCAGCCCGGGCCGCGGGGAGCTGGCGGCCGGACAGGTCCCGTCGTGCGGCGAGAACAATATAAACTGACTCCAACTGAACAAACAAGGATCGATCAGATAATTTCAGATATTATAATTGGCTTTAATTAAACACACTTCGTTCTAATTAACTCTGAAATTTTAGCATGCTTTGGGACGTTGGTGTCTGATTTGATATTGTCAGTCCAGATGTCCTAATAAAATTCAATCCTCCACTCAAGACTTCAATATTCACTAAGAACAAAATGCAAATTAAATGTAAAACCTAAAGTATCGCCAAAGGTATAATCAAGAAAGGTGTCTCAAAACTTCTCACTTTTTATTACGCAGTAGTTAGAAAATGCAGATTACATCCTAACAAGACCTCGACTGAATAATAGAAACCTTAACTCTTTCGTGGTCAAGGCTCGCTCTGCCCTGCAGGGATCCGGGAACATCCTCCGCCAGCGCACGGGAAATGCCCGCGGTGCGGGGCTCCCGCACGGACCGGGCGCAGGGAGCCGCCGGGGCCCCACGAACGGGCTGCTCGCCCCGCCGCACTCGCGGAACAAAACTTCCCGCTGTCACAAGCACTTT